CCCCCGCCATGCATCACGAGCAAGGTTCATTCCCCGGACCCTCCCAACATCACGAAATGCAAATCAACCCAACCCAGTCTGTGCTTCCATCTGTCGGGAGCAACACATTCGCGATCACGTCCCGGATTGCTACGAGCGTTCCCATTTCCATCTCAGGTCTCGTCCGCGCGGGTCGGTTCAGAACAACACCGCACCGGGGCAAACTACCGCGTACCTCGAATTTTACGGCACAACACGCTAGAATCTTCGGACCTGGTGGAACAAGACGATCAGCGCGTCCCCCGCTATCCGGAGGACGTCTCCTCCGTGCATCTCCACCGTCGAGATCAGCGCGCTGAGGGTCAAGTTGAGGGCATCTCGCACGCCCTCTGCCCCAAAGCCCTTGGTCTCCTTGTCGTTGGACAGGCGGTAGAGGGACGTTATCACGCTGGCGTGGGAGGCTCCGCTGCGGCGGACGCCGACGACACGGCTCCCGTCGCCGCCGCGCGCGCCCACGCCTCTTCCCCCGGCGACGTTCAGGAACGGGATGCCCTGACAGCAGCAACGTCCACAAAGGGAGATATCGGAGGCAGGGAGAGAACGGAATTCCACGTGGTCGCGACGGGGAGCGAGGTTATGTTTTCGGCGCGTTGTGGGAAGGGGGATATCAGGGGCGTTCAAACTTCTGTGGCGCGAAGATTAACCGCGCAACAACGGCACCCCCCGTGTTCATATGGCACAGTAGCTAGACACAATGCGGCACCTTCATGCTTTGCCTCTAGCCTCCGCTACAGTACGTGAAAATAACGGCACAAAACAGCACCAGCCGCCACATCGATTCTAGACAGCGGCAAGGTTTACCTGCATCCTTCGCCTGTAGCCTACGATAACGCGGTTATAACCGCACAAAACAACAGCAGTCCGCCACACAGCAGCCACACAGCAGGAAGCGTTACCGCACCTTCATCCTTTGCCTCCAGCCACCGTCGGGCACAAAACCTTGCGCGAAGCGTTCGCACATGCTCGAGAACCCCGAGACATCCACCACCATCACGGCAGCGTCAAGCTCGTGCGCCTGGCACGTCAAGGATGTCAGGCAAGATCGTCCACATAAGCTGCGAGACCACCCATCATGGCGCCACCCCCGCCACCCTCAAACACACACCCCAGACCGAGCTTCGAAGCATCACTGCCCCACAACCGAAATGCTGTCCATGCCGAAAACGGTGGCGACGAAAACATAACTCGCATCGAGATAGCATTTGCGTATGTATCGGTGGGTTGGTACTGTAGCTTTCCGGCTGGTTGTAGGGCCATCTGTCTTAGGTGTGTGTGGTGAATCGCACATCCACATCTACGGGGAAGTGCTTGTCCCTTTACCTTTACGTGAAAAGCTAAATAAGTCCGGCCACCCTGCACAAGGCCGAGAAATTGTCACATAAATGGATGTTAACTTGCTGCATAATTTGCACTATCCCGGTGGATACGTGCCCAAATGATCCGGGAACGGCATGTGTGCGTGTATGTTCAGCCCAGCGCAAATTAGTAGCGCTTCAATTAGTTCACCCTATCGAGCCTTACGCACGCCCTTGCCTAAGTCTGCATCCCTTTTTTTCTGGATGAAGCCGCCATGCGCTGCACCGCGAGAGAAGCCCAACATGAAGGCTAGCATTTCGTACAGCGTCGTAAGGATGCATCCGTTACGCGAGCAGCGGGATGGTGGGGTGTACCTTGCAGAAGGCGCATATTTTGTGTCCAGCCATGCACAAGGAAACCCCACCAAAACTTTCGAGCGTTGCGAGGTTGCGACCAAACGACCGAACGACCGCGAGTCACAAACACGCCGTCGAGATCATGCCATCGTACACCCTCCTACTGCGTGAATCGCCATGTATGTGTGTGTGTGTACTTTCGTGCTATTTATTATGGCGACAGTCCCCCCATTTTTCGTGGTGAGGCAGCGTATGTAGAGTACTCCACTTGGCAGTGTATTTTTTCGTACAACTACAACCATCCAGGGTCACACAGGAGGGGGGTAAACACCGGTGCTGTTTTCTTCTTTTTTTTATTTCTTTTCATGCCCCACCTTACTCCTGCGGTGCGTGCTGCATTTTTCTTTTTATCGCGAGAAGGGTCCAGCCGTCCCTTTCCCTCGTCAACGGTGCTAGGGTCGAAGTTTGGTACTCACGACAGCTTGTCAGCTCTATTTCGCTTTCACCCGCACATTTCGTAAATTTTTTACCCCATGGGTATTCGATCTCACGACCTCTGCGACTAGCGGATTACGAGGATACCACTAGACCACCGGGGCGACCGATGTATGTGCCATAGCGAGAGGGGCCTTGCTCGCACACATGAAGGTCAGTCTTTTGTACGACGAGTACTAGAAGGTCAAAATTCGACACAAGGAGAGCAAATCCTGGCATTTTCTCGTGAAGCCAAAGGAATACCTATTCGTGTGCGTCAACGGAGGTGCTGCATCACAATTATCAAACCCTTTGTGCGCATCCCACGAAACGCAGAGTCAACTGCTGTCGAGCAACACACCTGCCGAAGGGATTGGGCATCGCCCATCCAATTTTCCAGCATGAATCGCCATGCACTACAGCGATAGAAGCCTGGCACACATAGAGGCCACCCTTTCGAACAAGCAGTGGGAGGATTCCTGACACAGGCAATACGATGCGTTGTTCCGAACTTCTACAAGTAGACGGAACGTTCTTTTTGGTGATGTGTGGGCGATGCAACATCGGCGAACCTACATACCTACCCCAAAGGCGTATGGGCACGCGCTCGACCTACCTTCGGCGAGCTGATGCTTTCCACTGCGTCGTCCGCCGCTACCGCTGCGTCCACGCCTTCCAAGATCGACTTTTTGGGCACGGCAGCAGCTTGCCCGACAGCTCGGAGCCTCTCCAGCACCAATGTCGGAACGAACCTGGCCTGCGACAACGGCAGCGAATGAATCTCGACGACGTATGTAACGGGCAGTTGTGCTAACAAGCCAGTACCAGCAGCGGACCGTGTATCAACAGCGATAACAGACGCTAAGGAGTTAACCCCAATCAGACCGTGTCAGCTTCCGAGGCATTCCAGCAGCTTCGCTGTTGGAGAGCTGCGCAGCGGTATAGGTTGAACCACAGAGGAAACACCTCGATTGGATGCGGCAATACGCAAATACGGGGATCAGTCCACGGAGTACTCTGCATACATTTGCTTACAGTTGCTACAGCAGTACTACTCACCATCGTGCCGTATTGGCTATCGTCAAACTCATCCTCAGAATCCATGCTCTCCACACTTTCGTACCCGTCATCGTCCAATGGCGGATTCACGCGTCTCTCTCCCATCTCGTGCGCGCTTAGAGCTCGTGCAGGCTGCAACAAGTCGAGTGCAGACGGAACATGATGCCCCAAGATGCCCTAAAAACGGGGGTCGGCAGATAGCTGGGGAGTACCCCGCCTGCACAATCCAGGCCCCCCCAGACAGGTGCAACTTGGGTGCAACGGATGCGACTTGGATGCGACATGTTGTGGATGTGACCCGAAGAAGCAAGTCTCATTCCCCACTACTCTGACTTGGGCGGAGAGTGTGCTTCTCTTGCTGATACGAATGCTGCACGAGCCGGGTATTCCTCAAGGCTGCTCAGATCTGGTGGGGTAACCTACAGCCGCGGACGGACGCCGCGCAAAACATGTCCCCGGATCTAATCTCTCTCCAAAGATATGATCGAACATCTCGGGAACGTTGACGTCCGGCCATCCTTGTTGGTTATTGGGCAAGGACCAACAGGGATCGAAGTAGCCCTCGCGCTCACCGAGTCTGGCAAATGCAGTGTGTGCCTTGGGGATGATGCACCCGCCAACGCCGACTGGCGGATGGCCGCGTCGTTCGTCCTTGAAGGGTGTCGCCGGAATGGACCGATCGCTGCCGCCGCTGGTGCGACCCCTGCTGCCCGTGGGGGAGCCAGGAAGGCGGTAACGCGTTCTCAGTATATGGCTGCGTTGCTGACATCTCTAAGCAAGCAGAGTGTTCGGGCCATATCTCCAGTTGGCGACGCCTCCATTGTTGAGCGATTTCAGGTCGTTGTGATGACAGACCCCGCGTTGCCCCACGCAATAGCCTTCAACGAGCACGTGAGTGTCACAAGATACACAGCACAACAGTGCACACACAACAGCAAAAGTAGTACAGTCCCGTAGAACATGGAGAAGGCGGTGCAACCTTCGGATAGCCTGGGATCACTTTCGGGAAACTGGTTGCTGCTTACATGGTCTACATATTGTGGTAGGCACGACTTATGCTACAACAGGCACCACGCACTGCACGCACACGCCTGCAAGGTCGAAGACATGCGTCTACAACGGCACAACCAGTTCTGCAGTAGATACATGATTTTTTATTCCATAGATGAAATCCTGGAGGCAACTTATTGGCCTTATAAGAGTGAAGATTGAATGGCCCTGGGTACTGGACCTGTGTGAGTCTGACACTTTCGTTCAGAGGACCCCTGCCGCCAGGCGGTTGCTGGACATGGTACCCATACGGAAGCACCGCTGGAAAACAAAGATTCAGACAACCGCGCAGGAACTTTCCACACCAGAATAATTCTATAACACTTGCATGAATCCATCGTGATGGTATCGTATGTTATCACCGGGTTAGATATCAACTTTGGTTGTTTCTTCAAGAAAGTGTTCATAGTGATGTGGCCTTTGGAACGAATTGACCTGCCACAAGTTCAACCTTTCACTTTCGTGGCTTTCGCGGCGGCATTCGTTCAGGCTCGAGCAGTGGGCTGTGGGTTTCTTTTTGCAGAAGCCCGTGGGGCGACTGGTCGATTCTTCCACGACCTTGGGCGACCTTGTTCGCGTAGCCTTCGGGAAGCTCTACTCAATCCACGTTTTCGTACACATGCCAACACCTCCACCAGCAGCAACAGTGTTGATGCCGTGCCGTCAAGGGCCCCAACACCACCGGTTCTGCATAAAGCACGCCGTGACAGCGGGGTAGCCATGCACCTCCGACCTTGTCAAGGTAGCTTGAGTGCGCGCGAGTCGGTGAGGTCGGGGCTATTGTCCGCGTCCGAGTACGAGCTTCAGCAAACAAAATTAGAGGGGTTAGCGGGCGAGGAAGCGCGCCTTTTTAACCGGCACGTCCAGTTGCACCTCTGCTTTGCAGCGCTGCATGTATTCTGGCAGGAACACGGGCATCTACCGATAGCACTTGATCGAGACCAAGCTAATGAGGTCGTGCGCATCGCTGAGGAACTCCTTGAAATCGGGCGGAACGTGAGAGGAGGCCATGAGCAATAGGCTATAGCTGCCGATTTACGAAAACCGCCAGTAGTTCGTCTCCCGTGGGCACTCCCATTCTTGTGGACGCTAAAGTTTCGTCTCACATCTTGCCATTCCTGAAGTGCTCCAAAACGAGAGAAGCAGGGAAAACCAGCACCCTCAAGTCACGGCATGCCAAAACGAGCAGATCGTTTTGTTCACGATCAGAGCAAGCAGCTGGACGTAGATATGTGTAGTAGAAATAGGGCACCCGAGTAGAGTAAGAGTAGCGGCGAGTGTTGAGCGAAAGGTCGTCCTCATCCAAGGGACGACAATAACAAAATGCTGAATGCAGGTTGCTTTCCAGCATCGTACAACGCTCGAACGAAAACATAGGGTATTGTTGCCGAGACCAGCCGCTACCACAACAGTGTTGCAGCTGAGTAGCCCCAGCAATGGCGGGTGCTATACACTCATTCACGCAGTATTGCTCGGTATCATATACGCACAGGTGTGTCTGAAGTAGACTAACCTGTCGCTCTTTCTGGATTTCCATCTCATGCGAAACGAGAACGTTTCGTAAACTAACGTTTTCCTTCTTTTCATGTTTGGATGGCTGACCTCAGGTTCCGGCTGGCTTCTCACCGCAGCCAGAGTCGATCGACGTCGCCCTCTGCCGCAGAGTGGCTGGCATCTCGCGTGTCCCCGTCCCTTCGGTTAGCTTTCAGCTCTGTGGCTTAGTGGCAGCAACTGCTTTAGACCTCGCAGAGGTGTACTGTCCCCGAGAATGTTCACGCGGCAATCTCGAGAGTCCATCAGGAGGGGACAACGCACTGACCACTAAGGAACATCGGCCTGCACCAGGAGTGGAGCCGGCGAGTCAGTGGTATCTTGTTGATGAGCTAGACTCTGGTCTGAGCGGAAGGGATCCGGGGAGGACTGTGGAATGGATGGCCTGTGCGAAGGGTGAGTCTGAACTAGCAAACGGTGTGGGTGGTCGCACCGCCGTCAAGGTTGTTCAATGCGGTTTCAGCTCTCCGCGGACGTTGGCGTGGGAGACGACATCGAACGGGTGTACCATTGTGCTCATAGATCAGATCGTCGTTGCTATGTCGGTCCATTTACTGGGCAAAGATCAGAGCCTCGCCATCAGTTCAGCGGGGTTGTTCTCAAAAAGCCTGGTCGGCTTTTTCCATGTTTGTGTTCCCGACGCGCCGCAGCAACAGCAACAGACCCGCTTCCCGTGCAAGCCTGGCTCGGCACCGACCTGAACAACAAGTTCGCGAGTGCTCGTATCGCTGTGATCGGATGCGGACGCCTCGGAAGGGATGTAGCGAGGTGCTTGCTGCACACGGGCGCATGCACAAATCCTCGAGGCCGGATGGTGTTCATTGACCATGGAGATGATTCTTCGATTTATACATCTTCGTCGCCGGGCACAGCGCCTTTCCACGCCGGTGAGGGATAATGTTTCGGGTTAAGGACTTGACGATGTACCGACAGTAGGTGTCGAGAGGCTGTCACCCTGGCAAACAGAGAACCCGCGTCGCTCATTGGTCGTTTACGCAAACAAAAAAAAACACGCGAATCGTTTTTATTGGAGGTCTTTGGGCTTCCATCGGGATCACCTTTTAACCTCCGTCCGGAGGCACTGGCTAGTTTATGGAACCCCATTGCCTCAGAGCGCATTTGAAGTCTTTCTAGCTTCGAACCGGATTACCATGAGAACCAATGAAGGATCAATTGTTGCGGAAACGTATTGGGACGTGGATTTGGATGCGTATTCGCTGTGCTATTGCGATTGTTGCCATCGGAACCCCCCTTCTCTTGACGGCGCACAGCACGCACACAACGCGCCCCCTTCTTGGCGGTCTACATTTAGAAAACCACTCCTCACTTAACCCGGCCCCGATAATTGCGACATCAGAGTGTGACGTCATCCAGGGCCGTGCGGCAGCACTTTGCGAGCTTGTATCGGGGCGCATCGACCCTGGTGGTTCGCGCATGTCCGCTGTTGACGGTGCGGTTCAAGACACGGACACAGAAATTGATCTGTGGGAAGGAGTAGATGCTGTTGTCATCTGTGCTGGTCGCGGGAGTGGGAGGGAAGAAAGAAGGGGGCGGGGAGAAGGTACTACTGATGGGGCGGGGGGAATGGCGGGAGGCTGCGAAGCTCTAGTACGATTCGTGTCTCACAAGTGTGTTTTGCACAGCAAGCCGTTGGTTTGGGGATGGGCCGGTAGCGGAGGCGAGGGAGGTGCAGGGGTCGAGGTGAGTGAAGAGAAGAATCGCAAACTGTCGGTACGCGGAGGAAAAGGCCTCTGGCGTTGAGTGTAGTCATTTGATCGGGGCGCCCTTGTGATCTTCCGAAACTTCTGCGTCCTCGTGGGTTCGTCGTTATTGGGATAATTTCCTTTTCGACGCAAGTCGCCGTTTTTCGCTTACTGCAGTAAGATCGAATCCCGACGAAAAGCGACTTGTGTTTCGTGCCGTGCACTCTTTTTGAAACATTTAGGTAATGGCCCCATGCCGCACAAGTTGCCTCATCTGCAGCTCCCACGGAGGGGTCAAGGACATGATTGAGCGCCGCACCAGCTCTAGTGTCGAGGCGATGCCATCACGAGACGGCCGAGCTCGACGAGCCCCTTGCTCGACCCCTGGAAACTGCTGCAGGGACGAAAGTCGAGGCGAAGCTTGGGCCCCCAAGGACCGCTGCTTCGGTGTAGCTCGCTCTGCAGTTGCCGGGGTGATGGTAGCGGAACTCGCAAAAGTGCTAAAGCCGCGATGTCGCCGTGACGAACTTCGAAACTGGACGCTCAAGGCTGATAGCAGTTGCCACTGCGGCAACGGAGGCATTCCTTCGAAAAGCTGGCGCAGTGGGGCTCATGATGACAAGACGAAAGAAGGCGAAAAGCTTCGACCAGCACCGGAATCCGTCTCCGCGTCAGTCGATCAACAAGCTGGCACGGCTGGAAGCACCCATGTTCGATCGGTTGTGACGTCGCCGGACCCCCCTTTGATGGTATTGTCGACGTCATTCGACCCCTTTTCCGGAAACAGCCTTCGAGCTATACCAGAAGGGTTCACGGAGTGGGGCGTAGAAGAAATCCGTCCATCAATAGAGATCATCTCAACCCCAAGACTGCCAAATGTAGACGTTGGCAATCCCTTTTCTCTGCGAACACTTATTTCGCTGGTCTTCGCTCGTTTCGGTGTCGATGCCAAGAGCGTGGCAGCTGCCGCTCCGGGCTCAGAATGTCGGGTAGGATCTGGGGGGTGCCAGGATCTGGGAGGGGCGTCTGGTGGGAAAATTCTCTGGGCAGAGTGGGAGAAAGCTGGAGGGAACGATAGTCGCCAGGATGGACGTCGTACCGGAGGCGTCGTATGCAAGGTACGGCTTCCCGAAAGGGGCGTAGAAGTGTGTCCTGTGGATTCGGCATGCACGGGCAGGCCTTGTTTCACGCACGTCTTCGCCCAACATCGTTGTGGTAACAGAGGGAAACTCCAGGGAGATTCACATCGAAATAGTAGAACCTGCGTCAAGATGCATGCGTCGAGCACCCAGACCCTAAGCCACTTTCTGCCCGGACGTGTCTGCAAGTCCGTCCATCGTTGACTGAAACGAGCCCACTCCCCACGTTCGTGTCTCCAATATATTCTCATTTTCTCAGATGGATCACAACGTGTTGAGTCTCTGGCAACAGCGAGTGCTGTCGTCGAGCACTCACGGTGAAGCAGGGAGACGAACACCGTGTGAACGGAAAGTGCCGCGGTTCTTATTTTTAGATGTCCGCGGGGTTATCGGCGGGGAAAACGCCGTGCTCCCCGTGCTCAAGTATTGGGTACGATGAAGTGCCCCAGTTGAGTTTTCACTCACGCTGCTAATAAATAGAATCGAAGATAGATACAACGCATATTGAAGCGCGCAGCTGACAAGAGGCACTATCACGGATAGCTTTACCACGTACATGTGGTTGCATATTGTATCTCCCATTGCCTAAGACAGGTCGCACCACATCGACATCGTAGGAGATTCAGTTTGGTCGAAGTTAAATGGTCTTGGTGACTATAGATGTGTAAAAGTGTTGTTGTTCTCGGTACCTTCACGTCAAAAACAATACCATATTCCTGTCGTTCTTCCGATGTTATCTTCAAACCACGAATTTTCGACGTCACCTTTTGTCTCCGCACATCTACAATCACCCTCAAGACCTTTCCATTCCTCTGACTAGTTGGCTAGGACCACGACCACGCAGGGTGGAAGCTTGCTGAAGGCTGCGTAAGTGGCACCCATTCGTACTGCTGTAAGTCTTGCATGCTCTTCCCCGAATTCGATGTTGTTTCCCGCCTCCGAGCACCTTTTTCATCGAGGGAAATTGGCATCTGCCATTGAAATGTCTGCGGGTCACCAATCAGTTCTGGGTCGGGCATCCATCATTTATTGCAGGTGGACCAAGATTTGCATTGAAGTACGATCCGTCCAAGACCAGATTCTGGGCCCAACGGCTCCTTCCAACAGACTTTTCGTGCAATCCTTGCGGGACATCTGTCAATCTTACTCCAACAAAAGAACGATTGATACGCGATATGCGGGCACCTCGACAACCTGAGCGTGCTCAAGAAGAGGAAAAGCTGAAACCATCAAAATATGGACTATCCACTTTCTCGCCTCCAATGGCGTCACCAAATCGTCACCTACAGCCCTCCTACTGCCATGTAATGAGGCATTCTGTCGAGGCACTCCTTTCGAGGCATAACCCACCATTCTATTCCCGTCACCCGTGTTGGTAAGCCACCGCTCGCAGTTCTTAAGCTGACGCGGTGTTGCTTCTTCAACGGACGAACTAACAGTAAACAATTTTGAATTGTATACTGTCTTCACTTTAAATCAGTCCGTAAACCATACTTATACTGCCGCAGTTAAAATAGTCTGTAGTTTTCGTTTGTAAATCATGTGCATACGTCCACTGTATTCTGGGCACAGGTCTACATCTCGTAGGTTACGTGTACGTAGCCTGAAATTGACGTTTCAGGCGGAGTCGCACAGGGAGGGGGGATCCGTCACCTCCTGCGGTGCTCCTCTTCAACTATACTCAGCGGTCCCTCCCTTCTTTGTTGTGTGTAGTCACGGCCATGCGATTCACTTGAGAATTGCCTAAGTATAGATACGTTGCCTGTACTATGACGAATGGTTCCCGCATTCTGCTGGAAATACATTCTACAATCGGGTCCATAGTACTACACGGTCACCCCGGTGGTCTAGTGGGTAACCTTGCAGCCTGCTAAGGGCCAGGTCATGGGTTCGAGTCCCGGCAGAGTGAGTTCTTTTCTCACTAGTCTAAATAAATCCTGGTCTAGGATGAAAGCGACGCGCTGCAAACCTCGTTGTTAGTAAACCATAATCGACTTCGTACGTCGCGAGGGAAGGGATCGCTGTTGTACCCTTCTCGCGACAAAAATACCTCAGGCAGGAACCACAGGAGGGGGTCCAGCCCCCCCCTCCTATGTGACCCCGGTTGGGTCGTCTAGCTAGTAGAAGTGGATGACAGGGGCCAGAGGGGCAGACGACAGAGTCCAATGAAGGGAGAAAAAAAAAACACTGCATACCTTTCCATAGTTATAGCGCACAGCTTCTGCACTGCATGCATTCAGCAGTTCAGGTCGTTTAATCAGACAGACACACCACGGAGCCAAAGGAGGTATTTCAGGATGAAGTATGCGACACCAACAAAGGAATACTCTACGAGGATCATCTCGACAGCATGCGTAGAAGATCAGTTGACGGCGGCCGAAATTGGAGTGGCGTATGTATCAATTTTGGGGGGGGGTTATTCGAGCGAAGCGAGATTTCTAATCTTGCCTGAGAGGGCTCAGCGCAATATAGGGGCCGATGCAGGAAAAAAAGTGCGTGCGTGTGTTGTGTTCGCTTAAACTAGGTTTTAGAGTACAGGACTTGATTTGTGACTACAGGGCGCACTTTTTTTTTTTACACAGCAGAGCAGCAAACAGCAACAGCAGACAACACGCGCTCAGCGAGCAGACTGAACACACACGCACAGCAGACAACACGCGCTCAGCGGGCACAGCGACACACCAACAGCGCAGAGCGGACACAGCCACAGCGGCCTGCATGGCATGGCAATTGCATGATGAGTAGACGTCCGTTGGGGCCGATTGACCCGAACTCCCTCCGTGAGGCAGAGACGCACACAGACTCGCGGCGCAGACAAAGCCACGGGGAGAGGGAGCCCCTAGGCAGCCCACAGCTTGACCGGGCGAGAGCTGCTGCTCGTCAGAGGACTGCCGCCAGGCGTGCGGCGGAGACCGATGGAGCACGGGCAGAAAGGTGCGTTGCGTGTGCGTGCGTCTGGGCGGCGATTGCCGGAGAGG